CAGAGTCTAGTCTCGGGGCGTGGGAGGCACTGCCAGAAAATAAGCCCCCCCATCTGGCTCTTCTACTGCTACTGTGCCATCCCTTTCCTCTCTCACTGTCACCGGTTAGCATGACCGGACTATAGCCTTGCAATTTATGTTAACATTTTTTGGGGACAGATAGAGCTTTCTTTTGGAGGTTATTTTCTTTACTATATAATAAAAAAAGTACCGTAAATGTAAAAAAAAAAAAAGTTTCCCTACGTTCTGTTATAAAACATTTATTCTTACCCATATTTTTGGTAAAACATATATATAGACACCAAACATGTCAAGCCTTAAAATTGCATGCGCCCGCAAAATACGCCCACAGGCGACGCTTAACACCAATTTGATGAGCAGTAAAAGCGTTTTATCAGTGATTAATGGCCCTAAAATTTCGGGATTTTTCAAACCCTGCCTCTGATCCTCGCACACGGCCGGGACATAGAGCTGTCATGCTGTCACAGAGTTAACTGCGGTTCAGTGTAAAAAAACCGGCATTTAACTTGTACTGTGCCGGTTCTTTACACTGAACCGCAGGTAACTCTGTGACAGCTTGACAGCTGTATGCCCCGGCCGTGTGCGGGGATGTACTCCTGTCACTGGTACGGTACCGCGGGTGGGAGCGGCTCTATCTCGAGGGGGGGCAATTGCCCCGTTGCCCCCCCCTGGATCCGCCACTGGCTCCAACAGTCTAAGGACATGGGGCGTCATCACGTCTAACACAGGTCCAGATGTGAGGATGCTGAGGGACACAGCCGGAGTGGAGGGGGAGAAGGGTGAGTGGTCAATACTGCAGGACTGAGGATCAGGTGAGTATATCTTCTTTATTTTTGCTCCTAACATTTTTGACCAAAACGAGTGCTTAACCCATGCAGTGCAGGGGTAGCCCCAATGGTTACTTTAAATAAATTCTGGAATTCTTCCTTAATTGTAAATTCTAGGGATGCAGCGATATTGGTATCTGTACCGATACCGAGTACCCGTACTCGCCCAAATGTTCCCGATACCGGAACTTCCATACACCCTCATCACTTGTTGACGAGGGAGCATGGAGTGGGCTTCCTCATCAATCAGGAAGCCAGGCAGCATGTAATGACTTGCCGCCCAGCTTCCTGATTGTCATTACCCGGCTCCCTGCCCCCTGGCTTCCTGATTAGCCAGGGAGCCGGCTCCATGCTCCCTCATCACATGGTGATGAGCATGGAGCCGGCTTTCCTGCTAATTGGGAAGCCAGTTGGCGAGTCATTACATGCCACCCGGTTTCTTTAATGAGACGTACTCGATACCGGAAAAACTGGTATCGGTGCATCCATAGTAAATTATCTACAGGTAATAATCTAACCACCCATCGCTATTTGCTTTAATTAGACATGTGGTGTTTAGTACAGATTTTATGCAAACACCTTAAAGCGGGATTAAGTGACCTTAACACTCCATCTTTTGTGGAACAACATGTCCCACGAGGCATTGCAAGACCCTGGCAGGGAGAGGCATGACTCAGAGGCAGAGTCATAATGGTATTTGTAGTTTTCACCACAGCTGGTGTGCTGAGGCTGCCTACCCCTGCCTTATATACATGGAATTTTCTGGAAACAGCTGGATTGCAAAGCGTGCTGGAACATGTGGCCTACAAATAGTTGTACTATCACAAGATGTCCATCCCTGCTGTAAGCTGTGTTACCAGAGACTCTTCAGTTAAAAATAAGAACAATAAACATTATCCAAACATTTTCCACTATCTTTAGGCCTGATTCACACCTAGGCCACAGCATTTTCGCAACTTAACGTTTTTGTGCTTTTTTTGCGCTGAATAAGGCGCGACAATATGCTCAGTGGGATCCAGGAATTATCTATAGCCTTGTTCAGAATGAGCATATTTTCGCAACTGATTCAGCACGTCAAAAAGCTTCATCAAAAAAGTCCCATTCATTCTTATGGCCCCTGTGTACACATTAGCAAAATGGCTGTCGCTGGAACAAAATACAGTGGGGCAGACCTCAGCTCGTTTTGGCCCCATAGACTCAATAGGAAACACTTGAAAACTAGCATTGCAATTAGTTTTGCCCGGTTTACGGGCCAGTTTTCATCACTCACCATTCTATTTTTTTCATAGCGCATATAATGTCCAGTGTTAGTATAATGTACGTGCACTTAGGTTGGAAATCTCTTTTATAGATTTTTAGGCCATTCATGCATGCTTTAGTTTTTCCCTTTCTCTTGAGAAAAGAAAATTATACTTACACTACTTTTGGTAAGTAATGGCTACTCAACAGGAAATTCTATGGAGAGATCTCATCCAGTAGACAAAGTTTTTTTGCACCAAGACAGACAAATCTGGTAATTGCCTACAAATTCTGTTCACCTACAGCTGATCCTTTTATAAAACATTATCAATCTAAATCTGGTTATACATCACAGCAAAACACGTATAGCCAAACGGAACAATCCAAAAGTTTAAGTATGAGCTAAACGCTGGAAGCTGCTGTATGATATTGACATTTCTCTTGTTATCAAACACCTACAAGTATTTTCATAATTGTAATGCTCTTGATAACTGGCAGGACTCTCCAAGACAGGCAACAACTGAATAACAGAACTCCAAGCAGGAAAACTTAATTTGCTTGATAGAGGTACATATGTTGAGAAGATTCCTATGTGCTATATGAAAGCAGAAAACCCCTTTAATATGTCGTACCACAGTTCATGTACAATTTGATTATATACGAACCACATCCACTCATGTAGCCCTTTTTGCAGCACATCATCAATCACTGCCATCTGATAACTCAACAGTCAATTATCTGTCCACATTGAATGCCTTGAGTAGGTCTAAAATGAGCCCAAGTATGGGCATCTTAAAATGTTTTTGTGTATTATGTGATTGCATAGGCAATAATTCACCTAGAAACTAGGGATGCACCGATATCGATACTATCGTACTCGCCCATATGCTTGGATACCGGAACTTCCGGTCAGAGGGAGATTTTCTCTGACCAGCAGTGCCGCGAGGAAACATGGAGCTGGCTTTCTAGCGTAATAACTTGCGGCCCGGCTTCCTGTTTGGCCAGGAATCTGGTTCTATGGCGATTGGCTGGAAAGCCGGCTTTGTGGCCAATCAACATTGAGCCGGCCAAACAGCCAGAATGGCCTGCCCCCCGCCTTTCTGATAGGCCAGGAAGCCGGGCTCCATGCTGATTGGCTGGGATGTCGGCTTCTCGGCCAATCAACATGGAGCCGGCCAAACAGCATGGAGGCGGCTTCAAGAACAAGAAGCTGGGCAGCGGGTAATGACAGGTTGCCCGGCTTCCTGATTGCCTGGGAAGCTGGCTCCATGCTACCGGAAGTATTGGTACTCGGTATCGGTGAGTACCAAAATATAAATAATCGATACTTGTACTCGATTAAAAAAAAAATGCACTACATTATACAGCACAGGGGTGTGGAATTCGTATCGCCCGACGCCCGGGACATGTAGTTCCGGGCGCCGGGCAAGTAGTTTTTTCACTGTTTTAGCCCTGCTATTGTGTGCTACCGCTCGGAAAACGCCGCAACCTGCCTGGCACGTCTGGGGTGCCATTTGAAAATAATGGCATTGCCAGCGCGATTGGCGGTGGTGTGCGATCTGTGACTGCCCGGTCATCGTGCACGAAACCGAGCGGATGGCTGGGTGGTCACGGAATCGCACACCACCGCCGATCGTGCTGTCAGTGCCATTATTTTCTAATGGCATCCCAGTCGTGCCAGGCAGATTGCGCGTTTTCCTCCAGAAATCACGGTTGAAAACACTGCGCGGTGCATGTCGTGAAAATAGGTACATGTACCTTTTTATCAGCGATTGCCACCCAGATGTAACCCCATACATGCGGAGGCTACCTAAAGGGTAAATTCACTTTCCCAAGTAATTTGGGGAAATGGAATTACCCGCACAAATCTCCCTCCCACTATACTTACCTTTCGGCGAACGGTCCTTTCCCCTCCACCAGTACGGGTGTACTATCTGTACCTGTTCCATGTATTCTGAATTTCGCTCGCAAATTGCAAGCACTCGTTGATCAACGCGGTCACCTGACGGCACTGACCAATGAGAAGCGCTTCTTAGCACCGCTAAACACGGTTTTGGTTAAAAAAAAATTTTTTGGGATCAGGACAAGTAGATTGTCATGAAGGACAAATAGATTCGGCCCCCGCTTTATTCCTTGGACAAGTAGTTTTTTCAAAAATTTCCACACCCCTGCAGCAATGCAGAATACCACCAGCTACGGAGGAGTACAAATCTCAGCAATACATTATACAGAAATGCAGAATAGTACCAGCTACAGCGGATTAAAAATCCCAGCAACACATTATACAGCAATGCAGAATGGCACTGGCTGTAGAGGACTACAAATCCCAGCAATACATAATACAGTAATGCAGAATAAAGCACAGAACAGAAACAGCAGGCAGTATTTCAAAAGTAGCTGTGGAGTTACGGTACAGTATTGCTACACTATACCTGTACATAGCACACTCTGTGCTGCCGCTCTGCTCCAGGGTGCCAGCCCAATGCCTCCAGACATAGGGTCTCAGGAGGGGGAGGTGTGCGGTGGGTCTCAGGAAGGGGAGATGTGTGGGCCGGCGGAAGTGCTGTAAACAGAGGCACTGCATGATTCCCAAGAAGGCTGCTGCCAGGTCCCCAGCAAGTGCGGGACTTAAGGTAACAGCTTCAATTTGCATAATTAAAGCGCCTGTATTGGAACATTTGCACGAGTACGAGTACTCGTCAAAATGCTCAGTATTGGTATTGGGGCATCACTACTAGAAACCAAAGAGATGCATGCAAAGTCAGTTAAAATTACAAAAATGTTCTTGCATGCCAACGTTTGTATGTCGAACGTTTTTACTATTTAACGCTACGCTGTGTGTTAATTAACTATTAAATAAACCTTGACGACAAACTTTTTTATAATTGTGGGGAAAAAAAAATCAACACTTACCTGCAGCTGTACACACCCCCAGGAATCTACAGATGCCTTCTAATACCACCCAGCTTGCCTGGCACTGCATTGTAACTACTGGCTAATGACACTGTACTGACACCACCTTCAGCATCACAGACATCACAAGCTTTCACGCGGTGGAAAGCTGTGCTTCTGAGTGTTTTGAAAACAAGAATCCCAAAGTGTATGTGACCGTGAAGCAACAGGCTCTGTCCACAAACATCCAGTTAATGCTGCTGTTCTCACCTCCTCAGTACATTCCATGACTCCAGCCCCCCTGTGTGTACTGGCTGGTGGCATTGTTCTGTTTAATAATTACCTGCACCAGGCTGCATGGAGGGTGCCCTCATTGAATGCAGCCTAGAAATCTGATTAAGGCATCTAAACCCCTTGATGCTGGAGGGCTTAATCTCTGCATGTTTAACTCCTTTTTTTTAATTTACACAGCTTTTAACCTTTCATCTGCAAGTCAGAGTAGCAAAGAGGCTGTATGCTTTGGTCTGTGACACATGACAATCAGGTATAACCAATGGTCCCAGATCCTTGTGATTGTATATTGAGAACACTAAGCCACTGTACCATTACATACATATTGTGCTTATAGACCTCAGAGAAAAAATAGACATGGAAGTAGTATTTACACCATTATATTACACCACTGGAAGTAGTATTTTTGGCAGCTTCAGACACTAACATTCATGTTCAAGTCATCTTAATAAACTGATGTGTGCCTGTGAAGTATAGAGGAAAAAGCATGGTTAGACATCTGTGCTATCAACTAATGAGACATGATGACACAAAGTTCTTCAACCAATGCAGTGAATCTTTTCTACTGAGACTGCTTGATCCATAAACATGACACTAATCTTTGATCCATCTGCAATTAGTTGGAATGGACAATTATTCAATATGTATTGACAGCTTCAGGAACATTTATTTAAATTGGTGGGTTTGGAATCTTGCAGTAGTTATATGAATATTCCACTGCTCCCTGTTTATGCAATCATTCTTATCAAGTGTGAATGTTATAAAGTTATTATTGTTATTTGCCAATCAATAGGCATGACATTGAGGCCCGATGCCGACCTGAGCGATCTGGGATTGCGCGGTGCTGCACAATTGCAAACCGCGCGATCCGCCCAGCGCAACTGGGGTGCCATTAGAAAATAATGGCACCCACAGCATGATCGTCTGTGATGGCCGACTCCATGACAGTGCGGCATCGTGCACGATTGCCGCGCAGTCACATATCGCCTAGGTGTTCACCTGCCTCCAAAATGTTATTACAAGGAAAATTGAAAAGTGGAATCAATATGCATTACAACTAATGATCTTTCATTGTTTTTAAATAAAGCTAAACATTTGATTGATTGCTACAAGTAGAAGCTCTTAATTTATTTGCTGAAGTTTTGTGCATTAGTCCAATTGCCTTCAAATTTTGATTTGAATGATGTGAAAGAATAACTTTAGTTACTACTGTTAGCAGATACTAAATGTCCTTTGGATCACTACTTTACTCAGTTTTTTTTCTGTTCTTGGGTGGCCTCATTGTTTCTACCTGCTATTTTCCATGCAAGTTAAAGTGAGGCCAGCTTACACTCGTCAGATGTGCTGGCTGCACACAGTTTCTTTTTTCGCCTGGCGATCCTGCACATACACTTCCTGTCCCTGGGTGGCTACACTAACTGCTACACTGTATCTATGAACGGAGACATGGTTATCAACCAGGCTGCACTTCAAATATGCCTACCTTTGTTCATCGCCAGTACATGGGAATGTGGAGAGATTAGTATTATACAGAAGAAAGATAACATTGTGTTATGTTCCAGTTCAGCTCACAGGAAGTGGCAAGGACATTGCATTTCTGGCATTTTTGGGATCAACATGCATTTTCTGTATTTGCAGGAAATAGGTCAATGTATGTTTTACACATGGTTGTTTTGCGTCAGGGGAAATGGTCAGCATCTAATATTATCAGCACATAGAAACACATGTAACACAAGTTTTTTTCTGTGTCCTCAATAGACCCTTGATGTGTGTGAGCACATCATAAATGTGCATTCATTAAAAAAAAAATAATAAATGCATGGTAACTCACTACAACACGCACAATTAAAACTTTTATTGTATGCTCACTACAACACGCACAATTAAAACTTTTATTGTATGCTCGACTTTCGTTTTGCGATGATTGTAAGGTAATTCAAAATCTCGTACGATCTGCCCATCTTGGACAGGCAGATAATACTTACGGGGAGGGCTTCAGATGATTCCAATGCTGAGCGGGCAGTGTGCGCTTGCGCTCATCGACCAGCTCGGCATTTTTCTTCCGAGCACGCCACTAACCCGCCGAAAATCTTACGATTTTCGGCAGGTTTTCAAGCGTGCTCGGAAGACAAAAGACGTGCGACCATACAGTAGAAACGGTTGCACGCCTTCCATACACCTGCCGATTATCGTATGATTACGGGATCACCGGCCATTATCATACAATAATCGACAGGTATATGGGCACCTTTAGAGTTCCAGATTCCAACTACAATCCGGAAACTGAAAAGCCAGCTTAAACCATGGCATTGCCACAATACATTTGCATTGTTCTGGAAAATACACAACACCAGATCTGATGGAAACTATTGCTTCACTCTGAGCTCTGCTTGGTAGAACTAACTGTCCAAATAAAAGACACCTGCAAGGCCTGGCCCCCCACCTAACATCTAACCTGTGAGCACCTTGACAACAAAACCCTTAGCTGATTAGGAGAAGTCAGATCATTGGGGTACATTTTAGAAAACAAGCATAGTTATTTATCAAAAATAATTCTAGTCTGAAAAGTGCATAGAAAATAGTAATAGAAAACCGTATTTTTTCTTTCCTGGTGGCTATCATGGCAGCTTATCTAATGATGTCTATGCTGCCATATGGGCTCCAGGAAAATGGAAAATTTTATTATACCTACTCTAATTTTCCTTTCCGGGTGGCTATCATGGCAGCATATCTAATTATGTCTTTACTGCCATGTAGGCTGCAGGAAAAGATTGTTATTCGTGAAATCATGGAGACACTGACAGACTCCAACCACCATCTCTTCTCTGGCCACCTTAAACCTACATATACATAAGGAAACATACACTGAGAGAAAGTCTGCTAAATCTGAACATTGGGCACATTGCTGTTTTGTAAAAGCTAGATTACTGGATCAGTGAGCTTGTTTTGATTTCATGAGCATTGTAAGCACATGCTTGCATGTACTCACTGGTTCACACTAATTCTGAGAAACACTGAGACACCAGGCTGTTATACTGTATAATGAAATAAAATTTAGAGTTTTGTTGTATTTATCTTATTTCCAAAATATATTGAACATTTCTGACTTAAAGTGACATTAAAGCTAGAATCCCCCCCCCCCCCCC